GGATGCATCAGGCAGCTTTTGTTAGCCAACCTTTCTCTTCTCTTTAACCTGCTCTCTGGAGAAATCACTTTCTGATCGTATAGGGGTCTCGTTGTGCAGGTGATGCTTCACGATTTCACGCAGAAAATTTCGTGACATATCCAATCATTTAGCTTTTTTGGACTCAGAATGTATTTTGCTGCTACGTAGACCTTTGCCCTGCCTCCTTAACACTTCCCCTAAATATAACCACAGCTTTCCTAGGTTCACCACTCCTCAGTTGTTCCCAACTCTCGAGAGGTTGAATGCAATACCTGCCTTGTTTCGCTAGTTCGTCTGTAGACGCACCGTGCCAAAAGTGTTTGTAAATGCAAAGCGACGCTTAATTCACGGACTAGTTACACTTATATTATGTTAAAAATCTACCCAAAGCTTAGTATCATCAGGAAGGTAATAACGTAAGCTACTTCGTGAAATAGAAGAAATTCAATGAATTGTTATGAACATAGAAAAAGTTTGCAATGAACGTCAGCGCGCGCTGTAATCATAATTTTGGCCCACCCTGTAGAAATCTCATGCATTACGGTTGTTGGCCCAAGCAAAGACATTCGGTCTAGTTTTTGACACGCAGGATGGACCTTCATTTTTGTGGATGAATTGTGCGTCCGACGAAAAGCAATAGTAATGCATCAGTCCAACGGTACCTGCTTAAGGTAGATGAACCTCCTTTGCCCTCTTTCTTGGCAGTATCAAAAATCGTAGGGCTCGGACCTTCCCCAAGCCATTCTGCCAATCTATGAGCATCTAGATCTTCATCGAGAGGGAAATCAAGAAAAATAGAGACGTCGCGCCTTTATCATTGTCTTAGTCTTTGCTCTCAGTCGGCGAGAAGCGATGATCTGTTGATCTGAAGGTCTGCTGACCTAATACTTGGAGTTCACGTAGAAAATTTACAAAAAAATCTTGAAGAAACTCCAAAATTGGGCGAGAATTTCTCTCCGGAATGAAACGTATGTCAGGCTCTGAACATTGTCTACAAACGGGCGTGCAAGAAGTGAATTCTGTCCACGCCCCTTCGGCGTATGTCATATACTTCCGCAGAGGACACCAATGGTGACGGCTATTGTAGCCATCCAAAAATTCTTGAAGACGTTAGCAGCGGCGTCCGTTAATCCCTCTACCTACTCTCAATCCCCAATTTGATTTTTAAAGAAGAAAAAAAAAAGAAGGTGCATGCCCTTTGCGAAATTGCTTCTTCTGTGTTTATAGCCAAACACATGAGTATGTTGCCAAGAAGTAATGGCTATGCTCCGTACAATGTGTAGGTTTAGTCCAGAATATAACGTGAAAGAAAATTGAAACATGTTAAAACACGTAAGATCGTCATAAATATGTTCAAACATGTCTGTGACAATTCTACTCGCCAGGAAGGTGCAAGGGAGAGGATGTGATATTCTCGGGAGACGGTCCTTTAGCGCGGCCCCTCGCATCGCACCGCCCACTCGACGAGGTTTCTGAGCTAGACAACTCGTCCAGGCGATTCACCCTACTGACCATGCTAACCGGCTAACCCACGCCCACCCAGCTAATATACACCCGATTGATGACGCCACTGCTATTAGACGCCGAAAAGCGGACCTACTTAGCATGGTCAGGAGTTTAAATCACCTGGACGAGTTGTCCTTTTCACAATCACGTCGGATGGGCAGCACGATGGGAGGGGCCGCGCCAAACGACATATACCCAATTCCAACAACAAAGCCTAACACTAATAGCTGGCACAACTTCACTACAAATTTCACAATATAATATTATAATATAATATATAAATAAATATTATGGCATAGAAATGCCAAAGGCAATATTTATAAAGATATTGTGATTGCTGGACTTCTTTTCAACCTCTGTTGAAATCCCATGCATTTTAATCAACGTAATTTCGTCCAGAATATTCTGCCTGAGGAAAAACTCTGTTTACAGAATGAGAGGCATTGGACAGATCAAGGACATGAGGGTTTGGCCAAAAACTTATTAGGATGGAGCAAGTCTCTCCGAAACTTCCTTTTAATTAGAAAACCTTTCACCTTTTTCTTTCTACAATGAAAATAAAGAAGTCTACCGAAGAGTAGATAAGCTAGGGGTACCTTACTGGCAAAAATTACTGGCAAAAATCTTTTTTAACCTATGATTTTCACTTTATCTATCCAGGGTCCGATATTCTATAGGATTTTGAAGAAGGGCATAGGTGGCGATACTGAGATTCTGTAGTAACCATTAAAGATTCAGCCTAGGTCCCAAAATCGGGAATGTAACAGTGGCCCTTAGAAGAAGGTGATAAACAGGATAGTAAAATCAACGGCAGAAAGAAAAAGGCCCCGAAACATCAATGTTCAACATCAAGAAACAGAACAAAGGAGTTGAATTGATTTAAAAAATCATGAAGAAAAATTTATAAGTACCATGGACTAACCAAAAAAATTGATTTGAGATTTGATTTTTGAAAAAGATCAATCAGCTCACCTTTTTCAGAGCAACAACGTCTTTTGTTCGACGATCGATCGCTTTCCAAACGATACCGTAAGCTCCTTTACCAAGCCGTTTTTGCAGTTCATATTTGTCTAAGACGTGGCCATCCACGTCTTCCGTCATAATACCCGCCTGAAACAATGGAAATAGCTGAAAAACGGTCACGGTAGAATCAGTATTCCGCAAATACAGACAAAAACTGCTATCTGGCAAATTACCTGCGGCTTTTTCTGACAGTAAAGAGTGGAAAAAAGGAAAAGAAGCACGGAATAGAGAAAAAATGATAGAAAGAGTAAGAGAATGCGATGAAAAAAAGAGAGAATGATGAGCCGAATCGTAAGCCTTGGAGTATTGAGCCGTAATACATATGAACATTTCCGCAAAAATTCTGTAATTAATTTCGAAAAAATCACTAAAGTTGAGAAAGGAGAGCAACTGCGATGCAGTACTTTTCTCTCCAGCCGATTTAAGCAGAGTAGTTACCCATACATCCTTTTTCTTTGATTGAAAGCTCAGGAGTTCGAAATTCTGGGGAGAAAGTCTTCTTCCATTCTTGAGCAAGGCCTCACTATGAAATCTGAAGCAAGGGTGGAGTAAAGATAAAAACTGTCGTTACAGCCCGATGGCCCTTTGATCGAATCCTACACAAGTCAGTCTGGGTTCGCATGTTGCCGAGGTCGCTTAGAGACCTGTACCAAATTACCCAACCGGACGCTTACCTACGCATTGCCTTTACCCAAGGATTCACTTTAACGACCCGCAAAACCATGGAGCCATTCGAGCATCATCACAATCTAGAAAAGAACTTAAATGCATGGCGTATCCCAGTTCGAATGGCCCCAGAGTTAATCGAATATGAACACCACTACAAGCTTGAATGATGGCAATAGGGATTAAAGGGGAAAATCGATGAACGTGTAATTCAATCAGTAGGAACATTGGTTCTCATCGGAAAACTTCTTTTTTGGTTTTACAAGAAAAACAATCGCGAAAATTAAACAGAGCCTGGCAACGGGCTGAACAAACGAGCATCGTAAAAACTTTGTTGATTGCTATGTAGAAATTTTAATCACCAGCACGCAGAAAAGCCAGCGGGGAAGTTCTATGAAAACGAGTGAAAGTGCAATGGAGAAAAAAGTAGAACTAGTTCAGAAAAAAACCCATTGAAAAGCTCACGAGTATTCTATGCTTCCACGTCGAAAAGCTTTTTCTTGCTTCGACGAATTCGCACTCCAAAAAGCCCTGGAAGGGTATGGGTACTTCTCCCCGAAAATAGCGTCGAACTCGCCCCGCCAAATTGCGCATAGGGAAAGGTTCGAACTCCCGTGGAAGGATACGGTGGTCACTGCGAAACCACTGCCGCTTGCCGTGGGATTTCGGGAAGAAGTACCACCACCCGCCTAGGAAGTCACAACGTTAATGATTTTTCTCCAATACTCAGGAAGTTTCCATATTATTACTATTCGAGGGAACCACTTACTGTATATATGGACCCGATATTCCGGCTCTCCCTTCCTCGTTTATTCAACCCCATAATAGCCATATCGTCTACTCTTGTTCAACGGGCACTTATTTACAAGTTCCGATTTTGCCACCCCGCGGTTGAAGGCCATCGAAAATTGTGCCAGATATTTGTCTCAGAAACCTCTTCTAAGTCAGGTGCATGCCTCGTTTCAACGCTTTTGACCCTAAACAAGAATACCGAAAAAGTGTGTCGAGTGATCAACCCACTGCAACACCATGAAATCCAAGGCGTACAAGTGAATTGCGCACTGTTACTGTTTCTGTGGGAGAACTTGCAGAATATTCTAGAAAAAAAATCTGGAATTTTTGTAAAATTTTCGAAAAATACTTTGCAGACGCCCTGATAAATGCATTCAGCGAAACTTTCTATAGATAAGCTTCTGGCACATTTATCCCCACCTCGAACTTCGAATGAGAATCACATATGGCATGCGAAGCTAATGCGTCACTCTATGAGTGCCGAATGCATGGCGCACCCCGCAACAAAAATAATTAACCTAATCGAAAGATCGAGAACCACTGCTCGCTGTGCAATAAATTAGTTAAGTGCGCATTAATGAATTTTTGAAGCTTCTCATAAACGTTCAAGGTTTTTCAAAAATAGTCAAACAACCATCAAAACCAGGAAATCAACAGAGCCATACAATCGGAAGGAAATCAACGGCACTCATATTTGGAACAATGGTAGTGACATTTGGCTACCTAAAAAAATATAAACAAAATAACGATTTTTAGAGTTATCAGCAACTCCAGAACGGCCGAACCGAACCACGGAGAGAATCATACAGAGATCAACGCGTCCCAGCTTCTGAGAGGAAAATGGTGTTTTTCAGTCGTCTAGGGGGGAGTGTGCATTGGAGTTTTGGCAGGATAATTACGCTACATGTCACAGGCATGGTTGCGGAAAACCGATATAAATGCACGTTTCCGAAATTTTTTGCGATAATTGACTTACGCTCACCTCGAGAATTTGGAAAAATTGCATTAGGAAATGGCTATCTTTTTCTCATTCGCAATAATGAGGCCTCCTTACCCGATGAAAAGCAGGACCCATTGGTCCAGCATCAGTGGATAAATTTTTATAGAACTGCTCTAGAAGAAAATTTTTTATTCGATTTAAACTTGATCCTCACACTTGTTCATCTGGGAAGAGAGATAACTCCAATCATGAAAGTTCAAGCACCATAACCAGCTATCTTTCCGTGTAAACCTCAATGAAGGACTGGTAGGTGAAAGGATTTCCAGTCCAAAAAGTCACCAGACCCTTTGGGGGTCAGTCGGTGCAGGACAAGCCTAACAGAAGGCAAGCGCCAATTGAATCCCATTCACAGATCGACTGGCTTCATCTGAGTTCGAGTTCTTCTGCAAATCCGGGCGAAACCACATTCAGGGCGGGTTTGAAGTGCTGCCCTTCGATCGTGTCATTTTCGAGTTGAGAAATCGCTATCGATCAATCAATCATTCTGTGGTAAGCCGTGCATTTGACCGCTACCTTCCAGCTTAGGGACCCAGATAGATGAACAGTTCCCTACTCACCCATAAAATTGAAAATCCGATCGACAGTCCAAAAAAAAGCAAATAAAATTGTAGAAAAAATTCGTTCAATGCATCAAAGTCTCGGGGGACAGACCGAACGAACTCCCCGTCCTCAGAGCGGTCCTTCATCCTCGCCCGGTTTCGTCTTAAGGCCAACGAACAAAGCCTCTATTCAGCCTAATGCTGAGCTCATCATTTCAATGCACTGACAAAGCTAAGTAGACAAAAAAAAANAAAAAAAAACAGATGGCTTGACAAAGGAGAGGAACGATGTGTGACGGGAAGCGGTATCGATTCTCACCGCCGATGGCGATAGTTCGTGATGTAGCCCACTCCCTCTGCCGCAGACGACTTCACCATGACGACGCGCGCGGCCGTTAACTGCAGAGGGAGAGTTCGCGGCTCATGTCGACAACAGTCGTGGTGTTGCAGGCTTAATCTGTGCTGCTTGAAACTTGGATGAGGTTCATTCCAAGAAAGCCCTTCCCGTCCGAGTTTGTTCGGACAGGAAGTGGTTTCATTTGAAGCGTGGCTAATCGCATTTCAAATCACTAACTGACTGGCTGCATGATTGGGAGCTTTAGCCAGAACCGCAGGCCACTTACCTAGGACAAGCACAAACAGCCGAGCGAGGCCCAAGTCAACAAGTGCCAAACAATTCGCCCAAAATGGCATTATTTAAGAGTTGTTTATCCATGGCATCGCCAGGTGGTACAAACGCCCATAACCACTCGCAATTATTGAGTTTACTGGGGAAAAACTCTGAGTTGAAGGGTCCACTCATGAAAAATCTTATATCATCAAATATGCTTTAAAGCAGTTATTTTATAAGTGTCTTTCAAATTCGAAAAATGATTACCCGAGCAGGATTGTGAAGACTTTCCCCAGTGTTCTCATTAAAAGAGACTGACGCCTATTTCGCGTAATATGGTGGTGTAAGTAATGGTTGAGAGGACAGTGGACAGAGGATAGCCTAGCATTCTTTCGAAAGCGCAAAAAACACTTCCAATCACTTCAACTACCCTGGATGGATTTTAGAAGCATGGCTCAATATGGAAAGACCGTCCTAGCTGATTTAGAAAAAGGACTTTGCGAACTGATTCGAATGTTTTAAGCTAAGAAACTGGAAAATTAGTAACTGAAGAAGCTTATGCAGACATCCTCCGACAATCTGGAGTGCGCCGTAGCTTCAACTTTGTGGTAAACAGGCCTAGATGGTTGCCAGCTTCCGAACTCCTTCATTGACTTTGATGAACTGCCATAGTCTACAGCACCCCTATCACTTTAGAGCCCCCAAAAGGAGGGCTCTAGTAGGGACGAGATTTTTTTGTGGCGGCCTATGGGGAACTTCTGCCCGTTTCGACTCTGATCCTCAGATAGACGTATATGCGGTCTGAGTGTAGAGAGCTCATTATTGTCATGGCTCCGAGCCGTTCAGCAATCAGATGTGACATATCTATGNATTATGACAACATAATATAAATGTGTATGATGTAAATAGCTAGCAAAACTGACAGGGCATTCCATAACATTCCAGAGCTCACGTCTGAACGAGGAATTATGAACTACCCATTATATTCTGCTTGACGCTCAATTACTCCCCATTGGAGGGCTCGTCAAGCTCAAACACCACTAAAAGGCTGTTCATTAGAACTTACTGGTCCTACATCAATCAAGTAAATCATCTAGTAGGTCTAAGAGGTCTTCATTTACTCAATTCTGCTTTTCCGAGGAGCAAAATTCGAAAAGAAAATCTTAAATCGAAGATAAAATTGAAAAAGGCGTCACAGGCGAAGATTTACTTCGTGATGACAGCAAAAGTAGAATAGGAACCCTATGAAAGCCAAACCATGACCCATGGGTGCTATTAGATGGGCAGATTTGTAAGCACCATAAAGACCCTGTTCGAAAGATTTAGTTGTATATATCAGAGTGCGCCATGGGTTTGGAAGTCCTGGCTGTTTTGGACTACATCCAAGTGGCATGGCAAAAAAAGAAAGATGGGCGCAATGGACAAAGGTCCGATAAATTGGAGGAATCAAAGGTGCAGTACGAGCCGAGGC